TAATCAGATGGAGGAAGAAAAACGTCTGAATACTCATTGACAATACTCCCATCGTAGACGTCAGCTTTTCAGATTTCTCTGAGACAGGTTACCCCTTGAGGCTACGATGATTTATCATTAAGGATGCGAATAAGACTTAAATGAGGTTGAAAGCTCAACACTTGTTTTGGGGATGACCTTAAGCTTGAAGCTTCGCCCTAAAGTTATTCCCACGTTGGCTTTGTTCCGGGGAAAAACGATGCACGAAATTCAAAACGGGAATCACAAATTAAGGCTGAGTTGAAAACATTAACTAAGCCATCAAATTTGACTGAAGGTTTCAGAAATCACTTTACAGACTACTCTACATGAAGCGCTACAGCAATTAATATTCTTTGAATGTTTTTCAAATGTATTTTGATACTTCTGGCTAGGCAGAAAAGCAAATACAGTGTTACCTTATACAACAAAACGGATATTTCCATGGAGGAATAAAACTATGATGATGGAAAACCTATATTTCCAATGGAATCTTTTCGTGTGTATTAGTCACACACGTTGCACAAGTCATAATGTTTCGCCTGTGACAGGTGCAGTATTTTTAAGAGAAGTAAATATTCCAGCACTGAAAAAAGTCGGCGTTAATCCAGCTGAATTCGTTGAGGTATTGAAACGTTTTATAGCTATCCGTGTTGCTCAGTAGTAAAACAAACACTTTCTTCTGTTGCAGATACAAGAAATCATGAAATCGGTCACCTTATTTTGTATCTGTTGTAAAAATGGTAGACACAGTCTCCCTCTCACATCTACGATATGCCTTATTTCGCCAGTATTAAATTGTAGCATTTCCTTTTTCCTTCGGGTCGGATCCACGCATGCCCACCTGAAACTACTCTCTTACATTTTTTTCGAATTCAGGTTGCCCCACACGAGAGCTATAGATTCTTGTTAATAATCACGGCCTGCTCGCAACCGTAGAAAAGATGCACACCTAATAAACGCGCGTATAAATTGAATTTTTTAGGTTTTAAGTTTTCTGCCTCGTCGATTCTGAAACTTTCTTCGGTTCTGAATCCACTAGGACCGTCTGGAGGCTTAGAAGAAAACCGGCGAAAAATACGTCCTCTGTTCTTATGTAAATTAGTGTGATTATCAACTAAACGTTGAGGAAGGTAAGTGTTGGTCTTGCGTCTCTTTCATTGGGCAAATAGTTGACTCTTGTCAGGTTTTCAAACTTTCATACGGCATCTTATTCACTATGACGTCATTTATCATCTAAGGGTAACGGAACGTGCACAATATGTCACGACATTTCATTCTAGAACAAGGCAAAAGCACAAGCGGAAAGCTGAGCAACACAAAGGTCACACTGAAATGATAGAAAATGGAATAATAGTGCAATTATAAATTTCTCCATCGATGGTTTGGCAAATAATACGAACTGACATTTTGCTCATCGCTCTTATCTTCCCTCGCCCTTACTGGGCTCGGAAAAATACTGCGAAACACGCAAATATCACCGTGCAAGAAATATTCAATTGGAATTGATCTATCCTTCTCGTGCAATTTTATTATACCTCTGATAACAAAGTTCACACAAACCTGGTCCCTTTTTAACTCGTGAATTGCGCGCATGCGCAAGAGCGAGTTATAGATACGATGTAGGGAATGGCATTCGCTCGCTCGCTCGCTCGATTGGTCGATTCCTGTAAACTTTTTTTAGATTTTAGGCTTTTGAGTGCATTTTATAGTTTTTGGCGAGCAATAAACAGACGAAATGGCGACCTTTGTTGCTAAGAATAGTGGTGGGGTGAAAAAGAAGCTAATGATAATCTTAAAAGAGTTTTTTTTTTCGTTTTAGTTTCAACAAGCGACGCCAGCGACTGGCAGGCATGCAAGGATTCACACTGAAATAACAGAACAACCTTCGTTTTTCATAAAATTGTAATTTACAATCCTTGAACTTGAAAACAATCCGAAGATTCATTGAAAATATCACTTACTGCGAAGCGCTCGGAGTTTACAGATGTTCAAAAGCTTTTTCTGTTATAGCGTGAGATTGAGGACAAAATTGATCATTACGTTTCGTCGCGTGTGTTTTTCCTGTGTGAAGCAACAAAAGATGCCGGCGACTGACGAAATAACAAGTTAACACGAAAATCAGATAACACCTAAACAAACAATTTTAGCTACCGATTTTCAGTGAATTTTTAAAGAACAATTTTCTTTTAAGTTTCAAGGCAATTTGAAGATTCAACATGCATACAACGTACTAAAATGCGAAAGTTACACACCACAAAATTGATAAATAGGCCTGAAATGAAATTCTATCTTGTTATTGATCATACGTTGCCTAGCACGTGACTAAAATCTACCCAGGCGGAGATCCAAAATGACGGTGGCAGGCTTGGCTTAGTTATATCACTCAAAACTCGTTCCCGTTTGTCTCATTTGATAAGGAGGGAATGATCGTTAATGTTTTCATTAAGACAGTATTGCCTTGATTTTCTAATATTTACAACGAAAGACAGTAAATTTCACTTTTCACCCACATTTACTTCCAACCTTTTCTTTTGAACCAGAAACAAAAATGATAGACGTTTAAAACACATGACATCATCCACCTTGTCAAATGTAATAGCATGATCATTTCAATTGTAATGCCTTCTTATCCCAACGTTACTTTGTTTCTTTGCTACATTAGCGAACACTGAACTACTGCTCGTACTCTAGATATGACAATCAACCACAAAATTCCCTAAACCAGATAACATTAAACATAATCTAAAAAATCATGTGTCAATTCACGAGTTTGCTCACAGAGCACTTTGATTACTTGTGGATATGAGAATTCGATGAGCAAATTTTTTAGCGTTAGCACGGCCAAAGGAGACTGGGGAGAGCATACATCTTATTTTGGTACACTCTCCTACGACTACAAAATGATAGTATCCTTACGCATAATTGATCAGTTTTGCGTTTATCACGGCCTGAACTGTTCAAGCTTAGTCTTTGTGGCCATAAGCCACAGGCAACCCTGTCTCCATTGTCTTTAAAAAGGAATTTGTTTCCTTCAAGTAGTTTCATAAAACACTTCAACTTCATCAGGTCGAAATAGGTTGCGTAAATCTTATTAAAGATGACGGACCGATGTTAAATAAAGCAGATCAATTCGGAGATAATGGCTTGATTCTGTATCTTAGAATCACAGAATAACTGACAGCTTACTACAATCACTGCATATTTTTATAACACTCTGCACAATTAATACCCGAGTTCACTATAGCGTCACTTTGATCAATTTACGCTCTCTCTCCAACGACTAAAAATGATGATACCTGCATACAAGATTGGACAGTTTAGTGCTACCACCTAAACTGATCTGTTCAAGCTTTATCTCAGCTTGTGGCCATAACCAACAGGCAACCCAGAAAGAAACGTCTCTCTGGATTGTTAGTAAATAGGTCTAAATAGGAGTTTTAAATATCATCGTTACTTCAGTTCTTTTACTTCAAGTAGTTTCATAAAACACTTCAACTTCGTCAGGTTGAAAGTTGTAACTTCCAGCTAAGAATGATTTGGTGAAGGATTGTAAATAACTGTGGCCAGATGGTGGACTGTAGGTGTATCCAAGGTTTGAGTAAGAATTTGTGTTGGAAGAGGCGTGGTTCTTAACGCTGACATCGTGTCCTCCACCAAATGTGGGTCCATAGCTTGAACAACCGTTTATGGAATGGCCACCATGACGATGCTTTCCTGTTTGAGACAGTTTCACTGGTGCCCAGCCTGGCTTGTTAACCAATGAGAACAAAAAGGCCTTTGAACTGTACTGGTATTCACAGTTGGAAACTAATAAACAAAATGGAAAAAAAGAGTCACAAACTATTTCAGTAAACTGAGATGAAGGTGAATATTTGTAACACTTGGCCAGAGGGACTTTTAAAACGATAGAGGAATGGTGTTTACGAGCGTATTTTAGTCAAAAACCACAATAAAACGAAAAGCTATTGAATACATTTTCTACCTCCTTTTGAGATCAACCCTTCTCTATGGTAGAAGAAGTTATTGCGTAAATACAGGGAACAGCTTTTCCTAATCGAACACGATCTTGTGTCAAAATTTAATTCCAATCAGATAATCGGACAACAGAAACTTTATGCCAGAGTTTCTTTTCAGGTTCAAGTTTTTTTAGAGGACAGACTTTAAGTCGCTTACCGTGAGTTCTTGAAAAGAATTAACCGCGTGTGGTTTCAAATGTTAAAAAGTGGACGCACGTTTCACTGAGTAAAAAAAACCCGAAAGCATTTGATGATTTACTTACCCCATGATTTGCTGGTGTATCCACCAAAGATGTATTTTCCAACACGAATAATGGTCACTGTCGGCCCTTTGTTGTCACATTTTGAATGGAAGGTAGTGCTGGCCCAACCATGCACTGATGCTCGCCAGCAGCACTTCCAGTAAGAGGACTGGCTTTGCAGAACAGGTCCTAACCAAACTCTCAAAGT